AAAATTATTATCTAGTCATTCAACAAAACTCCGCCACTCTGTTTTTCTTATTACTCCTAAACGAAATGAGCTAGATCAAATTTGTAAAGTGCATAATGATGGTCCGTATATCTAGTATTTTTGTACAAAAAATTATTGAAACCACGTGACTAGAACATAGAAATTTTTGGGTCATTTTGAAATGCCATGGTTTTAGCCCAGTTGAAAGGGAGGTCGGAGGGGGGCGGGTATGCTATCTGGTAGAGGACATGTCAAAGTATATGATAGCAAAATTTGAGTAAAATTAGTTCAGCCATCTACGAGAAATTGATGATTTCATTATCATTAGGTCTATGGGAAAAAGTTGGTCTGGAGTTGTATTTTTATAACTACCAAAATGTAGTATAAAAAGGTCAAAATTGGGCTATTTTTGTCCAAATATTGTCAAATTTCTTAAATATATTGTTCGTTACGAAAGACTATTTACTTGATGTTTATGAAACTTTGCTATCATATACTTTGACATGTCCTCTACGAGATAGCACACCCGCCCCCTTCCAACCCCCCTTTCAACTGGGCTAAAACCATGGCATTTCGAAATGACCCAAAAATTTTTATGTTCTAGTCACGTGGTTTCAATAATTTTTTGTACAAAAATACTAGATATATGGACCATCATTATGCACTTTACAGATTTGATCTAGCTCATTTCGTTTAGGAGTAATAAGAAAAACAGAGTGGCGGAGTTTTGTTGAATGAATTTTTGTACAAAAATACTAGATATACGGACCATCATTATGCACTTTACAGATTTGATCTAGCTCATTTCGTTTAGGAGTAATAAGAAAAACAGAGTGGCGGAGTTTTGTTGAATGATTAGATAATATATACTGCATTCCATGAAAGTAATAATTATTAATATTTTAATTAAACATAACAAATTTACATCAATTTTCAATTTACATGTAATTTAAAATAAATTTAAAATCAAGAAATAATTAACGCCAGCGATGTATATGTATTGATACAACTCATAGCTATTCATTGGGAATAAGTCATAGCAATAGAACCCAATTTCGTGTCCGCACAACACCTCTACAAATGACATCAATTTTAGCCGATTTTTAATTGAAATTATTGGAGATTTTGATAAATATGTTATTAATTGTGGTAACGGTTTGTGAGCGGACTTTGATATCCAAGTACTTATTACATTCATTGAGAAAATTATTGTAAAACCTAGAAACAACACCTCCACAAATGACATCAATTTTAGCCGATTTTTAATTGAAATTATCGGAGATTTTGATAAATATGTTATTAATTGTGGTAACGGTTTGTGAGCGGACTTTGATATCCAAGTACTCATTACATTCATATAGAAAACTATTGTAAAAGCTAGAATAATAAATGTTGAAAACCAAACCCTAGCTAATAAAGTACTATTCTGTTTATGTATAATAAAGATAAATAATTGTATACCAATTGTTGCTACATAATAAACAATAAAGATAGAGCACCGGAAAAATAAATTACAATCCCTGACCTGTTGTTCCCAATAATTGTGTTCAATAATTATTTGCATTAAAAATCTTTGATTATTAAATTTTAAAGCAATTGTCATATAATCATTTAATTGTTGAAATTTTGATTTAAAAGCATATGTTATTAAATACCATAACATAAATCCACCCCATGATATGGAAGCAATTAACAAGGTTGATATGAAAAATATTACATTAATAATTATTAAGCCTAATAATCCATATAAAGACCAGTTTAAATATAAATATAACTCAATTGTTATATAAATGTGTACTGCACTACTGGCAATGGTCAAAATAATAGTGCTTTGATTGACAGTATAATTCATTAAGTAGGCATAAATTTTAGTGAACTTGCTATTTTTATTAAACAACAAAGGGTATTTAAATGATTTCCATTTAACATAGTAAAGAAAGTTGATTGAATAATAACTTTGAGTAAATTCCATATACAATACCACAATAGATGTTAAGAGTATAGAAGTAAATAAAGCTGTGGCCGAGAGTGAGAGCAGTAGTCTATCGCAGAGATAGGGACTAATGTCGTATAGAAATGACAATACATTCTCATTGTCTACGAGTGCTGTTATAGCGAACCGAACAATTGTTACCAAACAACATATCCTTACGATTAGGGCCGCAATTTGTCGCCATTTCTTCTGATCTCTTCTCATATACTGATCCGTGTCTTCAAAAGAAACGGCAAAAGTTTTTTTGATAAATTTCTCGAGTTTTTCGATACAATCAAAGAGTCGATCGTATGATTGCTTATTGTGTTCCCACTGTTTGTACAATACTTTCAAATGCGTTAATTCAGCCATTGTTTGAATTTAATTAATTTGAAATAAATATACAATTTATTAAACAGTTTACAAAAATCTGTCAATTAATGTATATTCTATGGTTGGCGGCGATTACTTCTTATAGAATTTAATAGTTTATTTGGTAAAAATAAAAATGTTCTATCTCCAATAAATAAATTATAATTAAGTGAAATCAAATAAATGTTGTCTAAAAATAAACTATTTTTCTGATTTGTATTGTTCTGCACGATATAAAGTCATTATTTATTTGAAATCAAATGAATTTCTTCATAAATACTTCAAATCTGAGATGTTTTGATCAATTTATAAATCTTTAATTTGTTCTAGTTGCATCATGATTGGAATTAATTTAATATTAGGAACACATAGAATTTTAATATTGACGCGTCCGGTTTGTCCTGAGCCTTCCAATTGCGCGCACACTCCTTGACTCCGCACTCTTTCTGCCCGACAGGGCCTTCAGTCTTGATGTCTGTGACGTCCCGTCAGCAGATGATCGTCTCGTTGTGCATCTGGTTATGCGTACCGCGATGTGGCGTTGACTCCCGGCATCTGCCTAACTGGTCTCGTTGTCGTCCCTAAGCGTGGCGTTACGTCTCGAGCGGTAGACGGCCAGGTGTTGTTGGCGACGATACGGTAGCGGTCGACACGAGCTCTACCAATTAGTCGGATGGCGTCTTTCTACTGTTGTCTTTGTCCAGTAGATTCCAAACAATGTCCGGTCCGTTTGATCACAACAGTCCTCAACAGCGAACGGCCAGCGATTCAATAGATGTCCAATAGTCTCCACAATAGATGTCCAACAGTCACTCCAATGAACGGGCCAACAGTCTCCACCAAACGATGTCCACCAGTCACTCCACGTCCGTCTCGCGATGTTTGGTCAATGAGCCGCAATTGGCGGGTATGTATCCAAAGACACAGAGGGTACGGGAGTGTCAACAGACGTGAGTCTGTTGCCCAAGAAGTGACCAACAGTAAGCCTTAATTAGCGGGTATGGTTGTGTGTGTGTGCTTGTGAGGCACGGGAGGAAAGAAGGGAAGGGAATAGGATTGGGAGAGAAAGAGCGGGCAACTAGTGGCCCAAACGAATAATTAACTTACGAGCTTTGGGACTGTGAAGTCTTTTATTAATGCTTAAAACATAAAACAAAGAAATACAAAATGGCGACAATAGTCGACCCAAGTGATGACACGTCTGTTCACAACAAGAGTTAAACCTAAAGTCCCCAAAGTCTCTACTGTTACTAAACAAGGCCATAGGGCTGGTTTTATAGGCAAATTCATGGACAACTAGCACGTAGACAAACACTAACAATTGGTTGGTTAACAAATGCGTCAATGCTTACAATAATGTTTATTGGTTAGGAATATAATTCTTATTATTATTATTATAACTGGTATTGATAGTGTAGTCAATGGCAACACTATTTTCAATATTAAAAATCGTAAACAAATTATTATTAATTGATATCAAATAAAAATGACCTAAAAATACATTGTTTTGTAATTGACTTTTACCAAACACGACAAATAGTAATTAATTATTTAAACTTATCTGAATTATGACATGCATTATGCAATTTGAGATCATTGAAAACATACGCAAACTATTTGTAAATCTATAAAAATAAAATAATAATATTTAACTGCAAGGAAAGGGTTATGCTGAAAAACTGTAACATAAATTGGGGGGGGGGAGGGCAGTGACAACTACTCAGCAAAAACATAAGTGGGAGAAGGGATGAGTTAAAAAAAGTTTGTAAACAGTTTTGAGTACAGAGTGACAATCACACACCGGGCATAGCAACGAGTCATAGACTACCCATAACAAGGGTATTACCCCCATAACAAATAGACTTTATACAATTCTATGGTCTGTTAAGCCCAGACCTGAAATAAATGTATTACATTTATAGTATTGTGAACTCACGTCCAATACGTTTCCCTAAACCTTTCCCTCACCTCATACTCTGTACTCACCTGAACTCTAGACACACACTCTGTATATAAGAGGCACGCCTTACATGTGCGTAGAGTTAGTCCTGTCTTTGCTTTTGTAATAAACACTTTGTCTGTAACCACGTTTGGTTAATAGTGTCGGTCACACCCGTGCTGTGACCCGGGACTGCCCTGAGGGCCCGCAATGACTTGGGACTCGGACTCACGCCGTGAAGGCTAAGTATAGTGGTCAGGGAACGGCCCCCGCGGCTACACCAGCGCTCTACCACGCGGTAGCCATTGTTACCCCTGTCTTCACTATACGATACATTCAATACCACAGAAATTACATTCAATTGTATGTAATGTGCATTCTATGTGTGAATTGTTTATATAAAATTCTAAATATTACATACACCGAATGTGCATTTAATCAACACTAATTAATCCGGTTCTAAAGTCTAACCAATAAAACTAACTCATATAACGCCTATACTATCTACAAACTGAATATCTATTATTAATTAATAAATTTATAATATATAAAAATACACCAATCATTAGTTTAGATTAATTAAAAGTAGAGTGGAATAGACTGATTATATCCATAGATAAAACACCACCTTTGTAATCATGATAACATAAACTCATTGGTATAAAAACAAATGAAAAACACGAGACAAACAACTAAATATAAAAAGCGAAATCAAACATGATCATTAATAAACTACTACTTATATTAATTATATCGCCATTCGTGGCGGCGCTCACCGGCAAAGAGTTGTTGGACTTTGCGGTCAAACAGTACACCAAAGCCGTACACGAGATCAAGACGGGTGTGCGCTGTCCGTCCATCGGTAAGCCTACGGCCACGGCGTGGGACACACTTCCGGTGGTGACCAGCGATTTTCGGGTCGGTTTCTATCCGGGAATTCTCTGGTATTTATACGAGTATACAAACGATAAGACGTGGAAAGAGTTGGCCATTACGGCCACCGAAGCCGAGGCCGACATTCAGTACATTAACCGCACACACGATATCGGCTTCGATATCATGGGTTCGTTTGGTAACGGCTATCGGCTCACAAAGAATGAGAAATATAGTAAAGTGATTGTCACCGCAGCCAACACTCTGGCCACAAGATTTAATCGTAAGTACAATTAAATGATCATGTAACAATAGTTATAATACTTTTAAAAATTGTGCAACATGCAGTATATCAATATAACTATTTATAAAATTGATAACAATAAATCAATTGCAAAAAATGTTGTTTTTTAAAATTTAATTATAAACATTTAATTAACTTATAAATATTGCATGTGACACAAACAATGTGCCACTAACCCTTGTCCATAGCTAAGGTCGGTTGCACGCGCTCGTGGAACAGCAAAAAACCGGATCAATTCATTGTGATCGCCGACAATATGATGAATCTGGAGCTACTGTTTGAGGGCTCGCGACTGTCCGGCAACCAAACCCTATACGATATGGCGGTCTCGCACACCAACGTTACCATCAGAGAGCACTTACGGGCCGACTATAGCCACTATCAGGTGGTGATGTTTAACGAGACCAGTGGGCAAGTGATGAAGAAGTATACGGTCGACGGTTACGCCGACCACTCGTGTTGGTCTCAGGCGCAGGGATGGCTGGTGTCCGGCCTGACCACCGCCTACCGGTACACACGCGCTGAGCATATATTACGCGCGGCCGAAGGGGTGGCCAAGTATTTCATCGACAAATCACCGGCCGATGGCATACCGTATTGGGATTATGACGTTCCGCACGACTCTAACCACACGTATATACCGCGCGACTCGTCCGCCGCGGCCACCGCCGCCTCCGGTCTCATCGAGTTGTATGAGTTCACCAAAAATGACAAGTATTTGATTGGATTCAAGAGGATTATAGAGTCGTTGAGTGGCGACCGATATCGGGCGGACGCCAAACCCGAGTACAAAATACCGGCCCTTTTCCTAAACGGCACCACAAGTTTCAAAAAGTCTATTTACGACACGGCTATGATTTTTGGCGATTACTATTACGTTAAGTCATTTAAGTATTATTTGAATTTGTAAAATATATGATGCTTTGCAATGAGTTGTGATAAATATAACTTTCTTTAATGTATTGATAAAAGTAATAAAATTTATTGAAAGATAAAATAATGAATACAGTGGACTTTAAATACAAAGGTATATGCCCATTGGTGTGATAACGGGCAAGTGGGAATTGTTGTTTATAATTATTGTTATAAAAAGAATGTACATTCAATAAGTAGTTGAGTGATATACTTTATATGTCCAAACTCCCTCGGGTCTGGCCGCAGTGACCAGTTTTGCCGGCAAAATTTTAAAAATCAAATATTTTAATTTATGAATAAGTATATCATATTATACATATCGATATGATGTATATCGATAGAAAGGTATGGATGAGAGGAATATAATTCTGAAGGTATTTTCAAATTCGGATATAATT